CATGATCTAAGGCACTTAGCTGTGATATCGAAATAAAGAGTGACGTGTGAAAATAGGAACATGGGAAGGGATGTAACTCAGAGGCAAAGCATTGGCTTTGCATGTAAAATGTTTCATTCCATCTCACTGACTACTCTCATTGGACAAGACGTGGCTCTGAAATAATGAAAATCAATGCATCCCCATTTGCATCTGTTTGCTTGTTATTTAAACTTATATACAGTACTGCCCCATAGGGCTAGTGCACTCTCTTGGCAATTTAGGACATAAACATGCAAACAACAGTTTGCCCTGCCCCCGCTCCCGCAGTAAACAGGGTACTCATTTGACTGACCTCAGAACAATGGGAGAGCTGAATCAACCTCGAGCTGGCTACCTCAACCCGTCGGAATCAAATTCAGGTTCTGAGTAGACGCTTGACTTCAGCACTGCAGTTTAACAACTACAGTGGTGCCCCGCATGATGACGATAATCCATTCCAGGAAAATCGCTGTTAAGCGAAATCGTCGTCATGAGAAAAACAATTCCCCATTGGAATGCATTGAAACCCATTTAATGCGTTCCAATAGGGAAATTACCTCGTCGTCAAGTGAAGATCGCCCATAAGGGAAGCCATTTTCAACTGTTAAAATGGCTGACCTGCGAAGTATGGGTCCGGAAAACACAGGGCAGCCATTTTGCGGAGCCGGAAAAATCATCGTTTTGCGAACAAACGGTTTGCAAAGCAAGGACCTAATCAATGTCAAGCAAAAATTCCCCATAGGAAACATCGGCATGCAATTTCGTTGTTCTGTGGGGTCGTTGTCATGCGGGGCACCACTGTACATCATGATGCATCTACCAATTATTTTTTTAAGGAATGAGGGGCTAAAAAAATCAAACAAAGGAACACAAAGGGAAAGGAAATGTTGGGTGGCAGCATGTAATTTCTCATTTATATTGGTTCCTCTTGTCCGTGGTCCACACCAGAGCAAGGATGATCCTGACTCTGCCTTTAATGAAGAAAACCTGGCTCAATGTATCCATGACTTCTTTATCGCTGGAACAGAAACGACTGCTGTTTCTCTGAGATGGGCACTGCTCCTCCTGACAAGTCACCCAGAAATCCAAGGTGAGTGAGAAAGAAATATAGAAGGGCAACCAAATGGCTACTATTCTTGATCCCTATTGTGTGGACCGTAATTGTTTCAAAAAAGGATTTCACAACTATTAAATGGTATGCTAAAGTGAAAAGGAAAAAAAATAATCACATCCACCTTCTAGTCTAATCATATCCTGGCCACATAACATTCTCTTATGGAGGGCACACCGAGGCACCCACCATTTTAAAAAAAAGGAATGAGGGGCAAAATGAACCAAAATAAGAGATGGACTATATGCCTCACTACAGAGTGTAGATAAATGGACCACATCTATTTCATGCCTAAAAAGGCAGAATGGTGGAAGAAGGTTTGAACCATTGTCAAGGGATATACGTCTTGTGACCAAAACGCACAACAGAGACAGCATAAGAAGCAAGGAAAATGGGGTACATTTCTACAGCGGGGCCGTGGCCTACATTGATTCTGAATTATGCTGACCCTTTTCAGCATTTCCTAGGTATATAAAGCAGCATTCCCCAACCTTTTGGGAATCGTGGACCAGTTTGGGGAGGTAGGCTCCATGCATGGAGGAAGTGTAGCGCTCGCAGGGGGGGCGTGTCATGCTCGCGGCAGCAAGATCTGTCTCCATGGCCCATTCCTGGGGAGCCTAGGGACTGGTATAGAGCAGCGGTCCTCAACCTTTTTGGGACCGCGGTCCTGTTGGGGGGCCGGCTCCATGCCTGGGAGGCGGGGGTGACACCTCCCCATGCAAGTGCAACAAGCCCTCACGTATGAGAGTGACCCACCCCCCATGAGTGCAACACGCCCGCGTGACATGCCCACCGTGCATGCAGACAGGGGGGCAGCGATCCATCTCCACAGCCCAGTTCCAGGAAGCCCATGGACCAGGAGTGGGGGACCCCTGGTATAAAGGACTCAGAAGTAGTTTTACCCTTTCCCTTCCACTGGGGATGCCCTGGGACTGTGCAACTTGTCCAAGGCTACACAGGTTGCCTTTTCTCCTGGGATCCAGAGCGGGGAATCAAACTCCAAACCTCTGGCTCCACATCCAGATGCCAAGATCACTGAGCTAGCCAATCAGCTGCGAAGGGCTCTATTGTCTGCTAAAATGAGAAGACAGTACAACCAATTTAGATTTGTGCGAGTAGAAGAGGAACACGAAGAACTGAGAATAGGACTGAAATTCAATTGGTTCTCATTTTCATGTCAACTTCCCTAATTTAGCTTTAAAAAAAAAATGAATACCTAAACAGAAAATGTTTTTGAATGGGCCCTGCTCTGATTTTTGCAGCGGAATTCTCCAATCAAACAGTGTACCAATAAAGACATATATTAGGGAGGCATGTGTGCAAGAATCCCTCTTCTCTAGTAAATAACATTAAATAATGCGGAAGAAAAATTGATTGGAAATTATTCCTGATGCAGCAAAAATTGTGCACAAAGTGCATGAATTAGAAGAACACACAAATCTATGTACAAAGTTCCATGCACACCTCTCCTAGGACTCTATACAGCTGCTATGTATTTGTTTTTATTTTATGAAATGAACCAAAGGGATACTGGCAAATCCCAAGTACAAGTCTTCGGGACCAATGTTGTAGCGCTTAGAATGCGGGAAAGCATGCTTATATTCCCATAAAACCATGAAACTGACCTGAGTTTCTCCACTGAAAAGGAGATAGAAAGATAATAAACTGACAATCATTCAGGATTCAGTAACAGAACAATATCTCGTAGTATAAACAATCCATCATTCTTTAGTCATTGTAAGTAATTGTTGATTACTTTTCTGAAAGTAAAGTATGCATTACTTTATATGTGTAATATTTAAAATATACCTTTCATCCTTTTCTGAAAGTATGCATTACTTTATATGTGTAATATTTAAAATATACCTTTCATCCCTTTCTATCATTTTGCTCAGATAAAGTCCACAAGGAGTTGGAAGATGTTTTGGGTTCTTCTCATCTCAGTTCCTATCGAGATTTAAAGAGACTCCCTTACACGAACGCGGTGATTCATGAGATGCAGAGGGTCAAATACGTCTTAATTCTTGGGGTCCCAAGACAATGTGCGCAGGATGTGAACATGCGTGGTTTCCTCATTCCCAAGGTATGGAATAGAATTAGTGCTGCTCTCCCTGAATCCCGGAAGCAATGAGTCTCATAAGACGGTATTCGGAGAGGTGTCAGTGCAAAGAAATACAAACAGGAATACAAAACATGAAGAGAATTGTTTTATGGGTTCAAAAGAAACAAACTGGAAAGATACTTAAGGTACATCTATAAAGATCCCATATTTATTAGAGGTGGCTGGACGAGATGGATGGATGACATGATTGGACGAGATGGTTGGTCAGGGTCATCAAAATGACCGACATGAATTTGATCCAACTCTGGGAGGCCGTGTAAGACAGGAGGGCCTGGCATGCTCTGGTCCATGAAGAGTTGGACACGGCTAAACGACTAAACAACAACAACATTTATTAGAGGAAGAATGGACGAGAGCCAGGAAAGAACTATTCACCCTTATTCCACCACCTTTCAAGTATTCTGGTTACAGTATTTTAAAAATGAGCCCTGGAAAAAAATTTAAATTTTGTTGAGCTGCCTG